ACCTTCCTGTGATACATGAAATATTCCAGAGCTCAGAAGAAGCCAGAGATCTTCTGAATTCCTCTAGTAAGACTGGTGACATCCTGATGCCAAAACCAGGAACAATTGTGTGTGTGTATGTGAGAGAGAGAGGGAGAGAGGACTGTAAATCAATCCCATTTAAAAAGATAAAGTAAGAGATTCTATGTGCCTACGTTAAAGAAAAACTAAGCTGTTACATACAGCTATTATGGAAGACAGTATCAAAGCTCCTCAGCAAATTAAAAATAGAACTACCATGTGATGAGCAATCTTGTATATACAAGACAAATTAACGCCAGATCTCAGAGAGATACCTGACCTTCCATGTTAACTGCAGCACTATTCACAACAGCCGAGATACGGAAGCAACATAAGTGTCCATCAACAGATGAGTGGATAAAGAAAATGTGGTGTATAAGCATGATGGAATACGACTCAGCCATAGAAAGGAGGGAGAGGCCGGGCGCGGTGGCTCACGCCTGTAATCCCAGCACTTTGGGAGGATGAGACGGGCAGATCATGGGGTCAGGAGCTCGAGACCATCCTGGCTAACACGGTGAAACCCCATCTCTACTAAAAATACAAAAAACTAGCCGGGCGTGGTGGCGGCGCCTGTAGTCCCAGCTACTTGGGAGGCTGAGGCAGGAGAATGGCGTGAACCCGGGAGGCAGAGCTTGCATTGAGCCAAGATCGCGCCACCGCACTCCAGCCTGGGTGACAGAGTGAGACTCCATCTCAAAAAAAAAAAAAAAAAAAAAAAAAAAGGAAGGAGGGAGATCCTCTCATTTTGTGGCAACATGGATGAACCTGCAGACACTATGCTAGGAGAAGTGACCCAGGCCACAGAAAGACAAATACTGCAGACCTCGTTTATATGTGGAATCTAAGAGCCAAGCTCAGCAGAGCAGAGAGTAGAGTCGGGGTTCACAGGGGCCGGGGGTGCAGGGAGTTTTCATTTTTCATAACTCTTTACATATCCTTTCAGCGATTATTAATACAGGTGTGCGAGAACTGTGTGCTTCATCCACTTTGGTGTTGATGACAGGATGCAGGTTCCGCTGTGCGGGATGAGTCAGTTCTGGAAACCTCGTGTGCAGCACGGGGACAGTTGGCCGTGACACAGAATGCAACGCAGTAACACTGAAATCTGCTAAGAGTCCACCTTAAATGTCTAATCACAAAATAAAGGTAACTGCGTGGGTGATGGACATATTAATTAGCTTGACCGTGGTAATCATCACACAATGTGTACATGTCTCAAGACGTCATGTTGTACACCTTGAATTTATATAATTCTTATTTGTCAGTTATATCTCAATAAGGCTGGGAAAAAGGGGATAATGAGCCATTATCAAGTAATGTATATCTTAGATCAAAAGTTACAAAGGGTATCATTAACTATACTCATAAAATAGAAGCAGAAAAGCCACTGGAGCTCTCAGTAGATTAATACACACACACACACAAAAAACACACATACACACACACACACACACATACACACACACACATTCACATACACACATACACACACATACATACACACACACATACACACACACATACACACATACACACACACATACACACACACACATACACACACATACACACATACACACACACATACACACACATTCACACAATACACACACACTCACACACATACACACACACATACACACACACACACACATTCACACAATACACACACACACATACACACACACACACACATACACACACATACACACACATTCACACAATACACACACACACACATACACACACACATACACACACACACATACACACATACACATTCACACAATACACACACACACACACACACATACACACATACACACACACATACACACACATTCACACACACACACACACACACGAACAAACACTCTTTCCTTAAAAGCCTGAGGCAAAGTTCCTGGTAACCTAGCGTGAAAAAACACTGCATGCTTGAGACCAAGGCTGTGTCAAACACTGGCTTAGTATGGAGCTGCGGGAGGTGCTCTTGTTAACTTTGGAAACAAGACGAGAGGCTGCTGTCATCGTGTCTCCAGCATTGTGCTGGGCAGCCAGCCATGGCGAAAGAGAGTCAAATAAAACAAAAGACTACGTTCCGGAAAAGAAGAATCCAAATGTGTGTCACTTGCAGAAGACCCAGCCGTGGGCCACCCTGCTCTCCAGACTCACATTCCCTCCCATCACCTCCCTCCCCCAGCCAGGGCCATTTAATCTCTGCAGCTCAGCTCACTCAGATCCCCAGAGTGTCCGCTTGAGTTAAGAAATGATGTGATCTGGCCGGGTGCAGTGGCTCACACCTGTAATCCCAGCGCTTTGGGAGACCAAAGCGGATGGATCGCTTGAGGCCACAAGTTCGAGACCAGCCTGGCCAACATGGCCAAACCCCATCTCTACTAAAAATACAAAAAAAGAAAGAAAGAGAGAGAGAGAAAGAAAGAGAAAAGGAGAGAGAGATGGAAAGGAAGGAAGGAAGGAAGGAAGAGAGGGAGGGAGGGAGGGAGGGAGGGAGGGAGGAAGGAAGGAAAGAAGGAAGGAAGGAGGGAAGGAAGGAAGCTGGATGTGGTGGCCCACACCTGTAATCACAGCTACTCGATAGGCTAAGGCAGGAGAATCGCTTGAACCTGGGAGGCGGGGACTGCACCATCACAGCACTCCAGCCTGGGTGACAGAGTGAGACTATGTATCAAAAAAAAAGAAAGAGAGAAAGAGAGAAAGAGAGAGAGAGAGAAAGAAAGAAAGAGAAAGAAAAAGAAGGAAGGAAGAAAGAAAAGAAAAGAGAAGAAAAGAAAAGAAAAGAAAAGAAAAGAAAAGAAAAGAAAAGAAAAGAAAAGAAAGGTTGGTGTGATCATTCGATTGTCTGTGGAAACTACTGTGGTGGCCCCATGAAAAGTTCCATGATCCAAAAAGACACGTCTCCACCAAGCGCAGGGTGTGGACTTAGATCGGGCACACTGAGAACCTGGAGGTGTTGTGGGCACAGCAATGACCGTGGAAAGACACTTTGGACAGTGATGGGTGGTTCAGACACCAGGAGAAGGGAGCGACAGAGGGCGTGGATCACAAATAGGAACAAAGAGATGAGGAATCACCATGCCCATTCGATTAAGGAGGCTGCCAGAGACAGCGGTGGGGAAAGTAAAGCAAATTATCATACAGGCCCCAGGGCTTGTCCCAGAAGCCACGTCAGCCTTACCACATCCCACTGGCTCAGGACCACCTCCCTCCCTGCCTGCCACTCAGGAAGCACACACTCTTCTGTGACGGAACGGAGCCATTTATGGCCATGAGGGAAAGGAGCGAGAGCTCCTGGTTGTTGGGTTCACTGCTGGCCAGCTATCCTCTTTCAAGGTGACTTATCTTCTCAGCATTTCTGCGTCTGTCAAAATGGGCTGCAGAGTCGCCCCTCACACTGTGGCTGGTGTGGAGACTGCACCTGCACTGTGAGTGTCTGTAGCACACCCGCTAATACAATGTCATCCTAGCCTTCCTGGCTTTCCTGTCATTTCCTGAAAGGAGCATCGAGTCCTTCAGTCCCAGAAAGTGGGTTAAGCCTACAGTTCTTCCACAACCTCTACTAATCACTGAAAGGATATTCAAAGAGTTATAAAAAAATAAAATCAAAATTGTCTAAGAGAAAGGGAGGCTCTTTAAAATCCTTTATATATTTGTAGAAAAGAGAAACAGATGGAAACAAATGAGGATGTAAACTGGATCAGGACCCCAGTGCCCTAGAATAAAATAGTCTTTTACTCAGAAAATCAAATGAACTGCCACCAATGAGCAGAGCTTAACTGATGTCCAGTGAAATGAGGGGAAAATGTTTAAATGCTCAACAGAACATCATTACAGTGAGCCAAAAATGTGTTTCATTCATCATGAGACAAAATCAAAGTCACAAAAGGAAAGACCTCGAGAGATAAGAGTTATTTTTAAGAGTGCAAGACACTTCCTGAGTCTCCACATTGAAAGGCTCAATGAATTCTAACCACAGAAAGTAAAATTATGCGTACTCAGAGAAACAAAACAAGAATAAAAAGAAAACCAAATGTTCCCAGAGAGTTAAAAAAAAAAAGGAGAGAGAGAGAGGCAAACTATAAAAAATGACAAATGACCAGCGTCAGTCTTCCATCAGCAACACTGGACACCACAGAAAAATGGTGACACGGATTCATCATTTTGAGAAAACAGATTTTTTTTTATTATTATTTATAATAATAATAATTCTGATTTAAAACTAGAATTATATATCCAGCTAAACTATCATATAAGTGTGAGAGTAAAGTTGAATACATTTTTAGGCAAGAAAGAAATCTTTTTATTTTTTATTTTTTTGAGATGGAGTCTCACTCTGTCACCCAGGCTGGAGTGCAGTGGCACGATCTCGGCTCACTGTAAGCTCTCCCTCCCGGGTTCACACCATTCTCGTGCCTCAGCCTCCTGAGTAGCTGGGACTACAGGCACCCACCACCACACCCAGCTAATTTTTTTGTATTTTTAGTAGAGACGGGTTTTCACCGTGTTAGCCAGGATGGTCTCGATCTCCTGACCTCGTGATCTGCCCGCCTTGGCCTCTCAAAGTGTTGGAATTACAGGTAGGTGAGCCACCGTGCCCAGTCAGGCAAGACAGAAATTTTAAAATGCATGTCCTAAAATCACCATATGTGAAAAAGCACTTGATCTGTCACCATGATGAAATAAACATGGAGAAAACCCAGAGCACAGCTTCAAATAAAACAGAGAGGCCTCTGAGGGTGGCATGGAAGAGCTGAAGAGACAAAGGTGAAGCGTGGATCCACCAGATACCGACTCTCTTCCCCTTACGAGGCACGAGGGGTTGAAAGGAGGGCCACTTAGCTTCGTCTTACCCTCTGTGCCAGTTGTATTTTATAAGAAATGCATATTTTTCTACATATTTATGTTTTAATATGCTAAAAGTAATAAAATATATCCAATCAGTCCAAACACAGGGTAGGTGAAACTAGAATTCCTCCCTTTAGAGAAGTCTTCATCTCTAAAACTTCAACTCAACAAAAGCTTTCTTGAAATATTTTCCACCACATTTCTGGGGCCAAAATAAAAACTGATGAAGAAACAGAGCCCTGCAACATACACACAAGTTTAATGAGGGGAAAACAAAGAGATAAACCAGCACAAATGACACATCTCCAGCCACCAGCTCTAAACACCAACAAGGAAGAGAAGCTTCTGGAGCCTCCTGTCAGGACAACACACGCCAGGGAGGGATTTAAAAGCCCCACAGCCCTGAGCAGCTCACTCACTCGTTCATTCACTCCCACACTCACTCACACCTCCCCCAGCTCACCTCCTCCCACCCCAGCATGGCCGCGTCCACCATGTCCGTCTGCTCCAGCGCTTACTCCGACTCCTGGCAGGTGGACGACTGCCCAGAGAGCTGCTGTGAGCCTCCCTGCTGTGCCCCCAGCTGCTGCACCCCGGCCTCCTGCCTGACCCTGGTCTGCACCCCAGTGAGCTGTGTGTCCAGGCCCTGCTGCCAGGTGGCCTGTGAGTCCAGCCCCTGCCAATCAGGCTGCACCAGCTCCTGCATACCCTCGTGCTGCCAGCAGTCCAGCTGTCAGCCGGCTTGCTGCACCTCCTCCCCCTGCCAGCAGGCCTGCTGTGTGCCCGTCTGCTGCAAGCCTGTCTGCTGCAAGTCCGTCTGCTGTGTGCCCACCTGCTCTGGGGATTCCTCTTCATGCTGCCAGCAGTCTAGCTGCCAGCCGGCTTGCTGCACCTCCTCCCCGTGCCAGCAGTCCTGCTGTGTGCCCGTCTGCTGCAAGCCTGTCTGCTGCAAACCCGTCTCCTGTGTGCCCGTCTGCTCTGGGGGTTCCATTTCATGCTGCCAACAGTCCAGCTGCCAGCCGGCTTGCTGCACCTCTTCCCCGTGTCAGCAGTCCTCCTGTGTGCCCGTCTGCTGCAAGCCTGTCTGCTCCAAGTCCGTCTGCTGTGTGCCTATCTGCTCTGGGGGTTCCATTTCATGCTGCCAGCAGTCTAGCTGCCAGCCGGCTTGCTGCACCTCTTCCCCGTGCCAGCAGTCCTGCTGTGTGCCCGTCTGCTGCAAGCCTGTCTGCTGCAAACCTGTCTCCTGTCTGCCCATCTGCTCTGGGGCTTCCACTTCATGCTGCCAGCAGTCTAGCTGCCAACCGGCTTGCTGCACCACCTCCTGCTGCAGACCCTCCTCCTCCATGTCCCTCCTCTGCAGCCCCATGTGCAGGTCCACCTGCTGCGTGCCCATCTCCTCCTACTGTGCCCCTGCCTCCTCCTGCCAGCCCCGCTGCTGTCGCCCGGCCTCCTGTGTGTCCCTCCTCTGCCGCCCCGTGTGCTCCCGCCCGGCCTGCTGAGGGCTTGGCTCAGGCCAGGAGTCCAGTTGCTGATGGGCACATCCCCAGGACCAACTGGTCCTGACTCGGGTTAGAGGTTGCCCCCACCTGGGACGGGGCCCCTATATGCTGAGGTGACCTCCCCCTTGCTCCCAGGAGCCCCCATCCACGCAGCTTCCCAGCTCTTGCCTCCTAGCAGGTGCTCACCTGCCTGCTGGGTCCCCTGTCCTCCCTCCCAGCTTTTCTGCCTCGGGTCACTCGACCTTGACTTGAACCTGTCAGCACCTCTTCCTGCTCCCAAATAAACTCCCCTTGGTCACCTGATTCTCTTTTCCTGTTGTGCTCCTGGGGACACATGGTTTTGAGCTGACATTGGTCTCCTCCAGACATGACTGTTTCTAGGAATGAGTGACTTAACCGAGAAGTCACAGGGGACAGTGGCATAACTCCTCCAGGGAGGCCACCAGGTGGGACTCACGGTCACTCCCAGGAAGGCTCAGTCCCGGCTCAGTCTCCATGCCTGGGTTTTCCCGAGCCTGGTCATTCGCTGCCCTGCCCTGGGTTGTGGGGCTCTCCAGACCCCAGGACCGTGTCACCCACTGTCCCACCTGGGAGAGCTCACCCTGCAGGGTCACCTGCCGGGAAGCTGGTTTAGGGTCCAGGCACTGCGGCCTCTGGGCCTGGTCACTCTCTCTGTGTGCCACCTGCCCCAGGGTTCTGCTGGTTTAGCAGCAATGCGAGGGGAGAGTGAGGGGCTGCTGCACCTGCATAGGAGACAAGGGGCTCGATGGGGACAAAAGCATCGTGGAGTGGGTGGATGGATGCACGTGATTCCCCAAAACCGGCACTGCCCCAGGTCCTCCTCTGGGGACACCAGGTTCCACCTGGGCTTTCAGGACCCAGATTTCGCACCTGCAGGGCTGTGCATCAGGCCCCTCTGAGGTGAGGTTGACATGGGCGACACTGGAGGGCACAGGTGGACAAGGCCCTGCTGAGACCTTGGGGATTTTCTGGGGGGATGGCCTTCCAGGGGCTGTGGTGGTAGCTGGAACGGTTTTAGTAAGTAGGCAACTGTCCCCAACAGGTAAATTTTCAGTTCCCCTCCCTGCAAGGCCGTCTCAGGGCCAAGGCGTGGCTGTTCCTCCGTGAGTCCCCCTCTCATCCCAGGGGCCTGTGTCTGTGGCAAGAGCCCACAAAGGGAGCCCCTGCCACCCGTGAGGCCTCAGCCTCCGTCCCCTAATCCCTAGCACCCTCGCCGACGCTGTGTCTACCCCACAGTTTTCTGGAAGAGTTTGGGTTAGATTGGTTTTATTTCTCCCCTAAATACTTGGTAGAATTCAATAGCAAAGCCATTTGGGATTGGCATTTTCTTTTTGGGAAGGGTTTTAATTATGAATCCAATCTCTTCAACTGATAAAGGACTATTCAGATTTTCTATTTCTTCTTGTATCCCTTTTCATAAATTATATATTTCCAGTCATTTGCCTATTTCATCTAAGCTGTTGAATGTATTGACAGAGTTGTTTGCATTATTTCTTTGGTTTCCTTTAAATATCTCCAGATTCTGTAGTGGCAACCTTTTATTCATTCCTGATGTATTAGTTCATTTTCAGGCTGCTCATAAAGACATACCCAAGACTGGGCAATTTACAAAAGAAGGAGGTTTAATGGACTCACAGTTCCACATGGCTGGGGAGGCCTCACAATCATGGTGGACGGCGAAAGGCACAATTCACATGGTGGCAGACAAGAGAAGAGAGCTTGTTAAGGGAAACTCCCGTGTATAAAACCATCAGCTCTCGTGAGACTTATTCACTATCATGAGAACAGCACAGGAAAGACCCACTCCCATGATTCAATTACCTCTCACCAGGTCCCTCCCACAACATGTGAGAATTTAAGACGAGATTTGGGTGAGGACACAGCCAAACCATAACACCTAATATTGGTAATTTATTTGTCCTCTTGTTTTATAATGATCAGTAAAGTTAGAAATTTGCCAGTTTTATTGGTCTATTAAAAAAACTAGGTTTGGTTTTATATATTTCCCTGTTTGTCCACTTATTTGGTAGGTGATACGGTGGATGTGTGTCCCCTCCAAATCTCATGTTGAACCATGATCCCGTGTTGGAGGCAGGGCTTAGTGGGAGGTGACTGGATCATGGGGATGGCTCCCTCATGAGTGGCTTGGTGTCACCCCCACAATAATGAGTGACGTCTTGCTCTGTTACTTCATGGAGAGCTGGTTGTTCACAAGGGCCTGGCACTCCTCCTCTCTGTCTCTCTTGCTCCTGTCACACCATGTGATGCCTGCTCCCCGTCCACCTTCCACCATAAGTAAAGCATCCTGAGACCTCAGCAGAAGCTGAGCAGGTGCCATGCTTGTACAGCCTGTAGAACCAGGAGCCAGATAGCAACGGGCCTTTCCTTATAAAGTGCCCAGTCTCAGGTATTCCTTTAAAGCAGTGCAAAATGGACAAACACAGTGGAGTTTTTAAATTCTTGATTATTTTATTATTTTTAGTTATTTTGGGTTTCAACATATGCTTCTTTAGCTTCTGAAGCTGGAAGCTCAGATAATTGATTTTAGGCCTTCTTTTCTGATAAAGCAAATTATTATGCATTTTCCTCTACATGCTTTGTTAGCTGCATCCCACAAGTATTGATATGTGGTGATTTCATTTTGATTTTATTCCAGATATTTCATAATTTCCATTGTGATTTATATTTTTACTCATAGGTCTTAAAGTGTGTTATTTAATTTCCAAGTATGTGGCAGTTTTCTAAATGTCTTTCTGTTAATGATTTCCAATTCTGTGTGGTCAAGCAGCACACTCAGCCCTCCTGTCATTTCATCCCTCCTGAGGACACTCAGACTTGCACTCAGGTCTCTCCGGTGGTTTACGTTGGTGGATGTTCCATGTGCACTTTAAACAATGCGCATCCCACTGTTGTTGGATGGGATTTTGTATAAATATCCCCTAAGTCAGCTTGTTTTATAGTGGTTTCTCAACTTTTCTATACACCTCCTAGAAAACTACTTTCTGAAGACAGAGTGAGGTTTGGTAAAGACACAGAGGACCTCAACCAGCAGGTGTTCTCAGCTCACGGGAAGGGACATAGCACTGTAGTTTAATGAAGACTCTTCCACAGAATCCCCCTTCTCTGGAGTTATTTTTAACTCTCTGGTTCCATGGGTTGCAATCAACACATTGAGTTGTGTTGCTGAAAACCATGGGCACGTTCACCCATGAGGTTTGCACCCTCACCCACCCTGGGACATCCGTGTGTTTGTTCACCCGTGAGGTGCCCACTCTCACCCACCCTGGCACATCCTTGTGTCTGTTCACCCAGGAGGTTTGCACCCTCACCCACCCTGGAACACCTGTGTGTCTGTTAACCTGTGAGATGCCCACTCTCACTTGCCCTGGGATATCCGTGTGTCTGTTCACCTGTGAGTTGTGCCCACCCTCACCCACCCTGGCACATCTGTCTGTTCACCTGTGAGTTGTGCACTCCCTTCCACCCCGGGACTGTGACTCCATGTGGCCAGTGCTCTGGGTCTGTCCTCACAACTCCACCTCCACTGCAACTGAGTTCCCAGGCCACTCTCTGACACCTGTGCATGGAAATTCTTTCTGATCTTATCATCATTGCTTTATGAGTATGTTTTATAATCATTGGAATAGTTGGTACTTCTTCCAGTGGTTACAACACATCATTATTCCAAATATAATTTTTAAAGACTTCTTAAAATGCCTAAAACTCCTCAGCCCATCCTGCTCTGGCCAGTCCACTGGCCCTGGGCTCACTGTGGTTACACGTGCTGTCTGTCATTCTTACCACTCCATTTGGAAACCTGAAAGAGGGAGTCCTATTTCTCTGACCTTAGAGAGGCTGGAGGGTCGAGGAGATGATTCTGCTCACACAGGGTGGAAGCAACAGAGACCCGATTCCAATCGCCAGCCTGTGTTCCTCCCACCACACCAGTGATGTCTGCACAGGGCACAAGAGGATTTTAGGCAATGTTGATGAAGACTACTGATTTTGAAGCTAGGGGGGCATTTGGATACACTCTAGGCAAGCATGGCGCTATAAGACACCGTTCTTATTTGACAGGTATTGTGCAGAAGAAGGAGAATTTAAAAAGCAAATCAGCAAAAAGAACTATGACATGACAAACAACACAGGAGGGTTAGGGACAAACCCAAGGGCCTGAAATGGCCAAAGGGCTGCAAGGCTCCCCCCTGCCCATGTCCGTCTAGCCTGGACCCCTAGAAGCCACACACCCATGGGCACAGGATAACACTCAGGGGACTGAAGGACAGCAGAGTGTTGTGCATAAAGGAGAAAACCATGGCCATGAGTTCCAGCCAAGACATCGATCAACACACCTGGATGCCAGCGCCATTGCAGTCTCAGGGCCTTTATTGGTCAGTGTGAGGGCCTCCAAAGAAGGCTCTGGGGCTCTGAGCCAGGAGGACAGAGACCTCACGGGTCAAGGCTGAGCTGACCCTCACGAGAAGTAGGAGATATGGAGGGGAGGCCACTGCCATGGGAACTTTCTAGAAGCAACCCCCACCCCGCAAAAGGGCTGCAGCATTGAGTATAGACATTCAGTTCTTCCACTGTCCAGCTCAATAGCAGACACCGGGAAATGGTCAAAGTGCAGGAGCAATTCAGGACGTGACTATCAGCTTCCAGGTGGGAGCTGAGCCTGGCTGGCACTGGGGGGCGTGTCCATCAGCAGCTGGGCTTCTGACCTGAGCACACAGGGCTGCAGAAGAGGGACATGCAGGAGGCCGGGCGGCAGCAGCTGGACTGGCAGGAGGAGGTGGGGGCACAGCAGGAGGGGACGGGCACGCAGCAGGCGGGCCTGCACACGGGGCGGCAGAGGAGGGACACGGAGGAGGAGGGTCTGCAGCAGGAGGTGGTGCAGCAAGCTGGCTGGCAGCTAGACTGCTGGCAGCATGAAGTGGAAGCCCCAGAGCAGACAGGCACGCAGCTCACAGGCTTGCAGCAGACAGGCACGCAGCAGCCCTGCTGGCTTTGGGAGGAGGTGCAGCAAGCCGGCTGGCAGCTAGACTGCTGGCAGCACAGAGAGGAAGCCCCAGAGCAGGTGGGCACACAGCAGACAGGCTTGCAGCACACAGGCTTGCAGCAGACAGGCATGCAGCAGGCCTGCTGGCAGGAGGAGGAGGTGCAGCAGGCTGGCTGGCAGCTAGACTGCTGGCAGCATGAAGAGGAATCCTCAGAGCAGGTGGGCACACAGCACACAGGCTTGTAGCAGACGGGTATGCAGCAGACCTGCTGGCAGGGGGAGGAGGTGCAGCAAGCTGGCTGGCAGCTAGACTGCTGGCAGCACGAGGGCGTGCAGGAGCTGGTGCAGCCTGATTGGCAGGGGCTGGACTCACAGGCCACCTGGCAGCAGGGGCTGGACACACAGCTCACTGGGGTGCAGACCAGGGTCAGGCAGGGGGCCGGGGCACAGCAGCTGGGGGCGCAGCAGCAGGGCTCGCAGCAGCTCTCTGGGCAGTCATCCACCTGCCAGGAGTCAGAGCAAGAGTCACAGGAACCAGGAAGGCAGACGCGGCTGCTGTAGCTCAGGTCGCTGGAGCAGACGGACATGGTGGACGCTGCAGTGCTGGGGGTTGGGCTGGGCGAGATGGGAGGGAGTGGGTGAGGGAGTGAGTGAGGTGATCGGGTTTCTGGGGCTTTTATACTCCTCCCAGGCGCGTGTTGTCCAGACAGGAGGCTCAGCAGGCCCTCCCTTCCTTGTTGGGGTGTACAGCCAGCTCCAGGAGAATAAACAGCTGTGTTTTTGTTTCCCAAGAGCTGTTGCTCAGTTTACAAAACTTGGAATTGGCCTGGGGCACGTGTGTGTTTTAGACTCAGGAGGAAGAGCTGAGGTGCAGGTCAGGCTGTGCTGCTTTGCTCCCCAGGCTCACGTGGAGGGTGGCGTGGTCTGTGTGTGCCGGGCTATGGGGAGCGGGTGCCTGCGGGTGGCTCTGCTGGGCCTTGGGTTTCTAGGCTGCTGAAGAAGATCGTGTGCCCCTGTGATTCAAAGGTTAGGGAGAGGTTCGTTTGGGTTCTAAATAAAGATAACGTGAGTCGTGATTTGTATGCAGTAATGTGTTCCTTTCCTTGGGCTGCCGTGACAAACAGCACCACAAACTGGCTGGTCACACAACAGAAATTCCGTGTCTCATGGTTTTGGAGGCCAGAGGTCTGAGATCGAGGTGTGGACAGCGTGGGTTGCAGCCTTCCGAGGCTGCAGGGGGCACTGTCTCATCCCGCTCCCCTCACTCCTGTGGGCTGCTGCTATCTTTGGGGTCCTTGGCTTACAGTGGGCTCACCTGAGCTCCACCTTTATCTTCACACAGCTTCTGTGTGTGTGTGTGTGTGTGTGTGTGTGTGTGTGTGTCCAAATCTCCCCTTTTTATAAGGACACAAAGCATATTGCATATTGCAGTAGGGCCCATCCTAACAGCCTCCTCTTAACTTGGTCACCTACAAAGACCCTATTTCCATATAGGGTCACATTCACATGTGCCAGGGGTCAGGACTTTGGCACCTTTTGAGGGACACAATTCAATCCACAGCAAGCAGACACAATGGCAGAACCTGGGATGAGGAGGAGGGCGCGGGAGCAGAACCCGGGATGGGAAGGCAGGTACAGCAGGAGTCTTTCTCGCCGACTCGGGCCTGGGGCAGGTGGAGCATGGAGGGGTGGCGAGGGTAGCACAGGACAGCAGGTGCCCAGCACTGAGCACTCGGCAGCCTTTGCTTGTGAGGTGTGGCTTGACCTCGTGGAATGGTTTTAGGGAATAGTGGTTGAAAAGCGGAGTTCGCATCACCCTTCACCAGCTTCCTGACGCCACCGCAGGTCAGTTCCCAGCTCTGAGAAAGCGGCGCTGGTCTGTCTCTTCTCACCCAGGACAGGCTTTAAGCAGGTGCACCGGCTTCCCGCGGGCCCTGCTCAGGACCCCACATGGCGCTGGCGGAAAGGTCTCCTCGGCTGCTCTGGTTTGTGACTGTTGCCCAGTCTCACCTGGGCCTCAGTGACCTTGACTGGTTGGGTGTTTTGTAGAATGCCCCTCGGTGTGGACTTGCCTGAGGTTTCCTTGTGGTCACAGCGGGCATCGCGTTGGGGGAGGAATCCCACAGGAGCAGTGCCCGCGGGGCACGGAGGGGACGTGGCCCGTCCCATCCCTTGTGGTGCCGCTGTTTCCCTCTGTAATTGGTCATGTCTGAGACTTAGCAGCTGTCCTGCATCTGCCCAGGCATTTGCCCGGTAGTGTTGGCGCCCTCCGGGAGCCTGCCCCGTGCAGCCCCTGTGGGGCGCTGTTGAGGATTCTCTGCCCTGTTCCTTCCACACTTGCTAATTGAAATCTCCCGGGAGGAGGAGCTGTCCTGCTTTCCTGTGTGTCTGCTTCCTTATTTATTTACCTGGGTGTGGACTAAAGAATATTTATCTATTACTTGAGTTATAGTCCAATATCATCACTATGTATTTTGTGGTTGCAGTGGTTCCAACTTTGGCCCTCACGTTCTTTCATTTTGGCCCTGGTGCCCTTTCAACACGCTGTCCCTCCCTGACCTTTCTTTTTTTGGTTGTTTTTTGTTTTTGTTTTTGAGACGGAGTCTCGCTCTGTCACCCAGGCTGGAGTTCAGTGGTGCGATCTCGTCTCACTGCAAGCTCCGCCTCCCGGGTTCACGCCATTCTCCTGCCTCAGCCTCCCAAGTAGCTGGGACTACAGGCACCCGCCACCACGCCCGGCTAATTTTTTGTATTTTTAGTAGAGATGGGGTTTCACCGTGTTAGCCAGGATGGTCTCGATCTCCTGACCTTGTGATCCACCCGTCTTGGCCTCCCAAAGCACTGGGATTATAGGCGTGAGCCACCACGCCTGGCCCTTCCCTGACCTTTCTTACTTTTGGGTTCAAGTTCATCTCAGATTTGCCCTGTTTCATCTGTGGAATCAGACGCTTCTCCAGGAAACCCTGCGGTGGACCAAGGCATTTAGAAGCCAAGATCGGGAGCAAGGTGTGCTCACACCACTCGGTGTCGTTTCCCAGCCCTCCCAGCAGACAGAGCAAGGAGGCCAGCACGTGCACAAACACCCCTGATCTTATGGAGCAAGGAGGCAGCACATGCACTAACACCCCTGATCTTACAGAGCAAGGAGGCCAGCACATGCACTAACACCCCGATCTTAGAGGGAGGGGGTTCCCCACCAAGAATAGTGTTGGTGTTGGTTTTTCCAGACTAGTGTTATCTGGTTTGAAAAGTTCCCTTCTAGGCTGGGTGTGGTGACTGATGCCTGTAATTCCAGCACTTTGGGAGGCCAAGGCAGGAGGATCATTTGAGGCCAGGAGTTTGAGATCAGCCTGGGCAACATAGCCAGGCCCCATCTCTACAACATATTGTCTTTTTTACATGTTGCTGGATTTTATTTGCTAACATTTTATTGAGGATTTTTGTGTCTACATTTATGGGGGTGGTTGGTCTCTAGTTTTCTCTTATTGCAATGCCTTTGCCTGGTTTGGTAACACTGCCTTCATGAAAAGAGTTGGTGAGTGTTTTTCCTCTTCTATCTTCTGAAAGAGATGATGTAGAATTGACATTTTTTCTTCTTTAAAGGACTCGTAGTATTTTCCAGGAAATTGTAGTTTTCTGTGTTGGAAGGTGTCCTTTATTAGATACCAGACCTCCGAGTTATCTTTTCTTCTTTAATGAGTTCTGGTATTTGTGCCTATCAAGGAATTGGTCCACAGTATCTGAGGTTTTGAAGAGACACACATGGTATTGTTTATGGAGTTCCCTTATCAGCCTTTTAATTTCCAACAATTGTTTAGCAATATCCCCTTTTGTTTTCCATATTGTTTATCAATTTGATTGATCTCAAAGAACCAGCTTGGGTTTAATCAATTTCCTCTATTTTCCTTTTGTTTTCAGTTGCACGGACTCCTGCCCCAACCTTCCCTTTGCTTGCTGTGCGTTCCATTTCCTTGTCTTTCTCTAGTTTCTCAAGGCAAAGCTCCTATGTTGGATTCAATACCTTCCTTCATTTCAAAGCAGCACTCGGCCCCCTCCTTCTCCATCCTCGGTGGCTGTACCCGGCCTGTGCCTGAGGCTGTGAATGAGCTAATCTCTGCAGTCCCTTCTGAAATTCCATAATTCCTGGCTTCTGGACCCATGTCTCATGGATGATAGAGTCAAGGAGGATGCCCCACAAGGTGGCTGTGAGGGCGGGTCAACCTCCAGAGGCCCCCACCCAGCGCTGCTGAGGCTGTGTCGGGGACTCATCTGCCCTTGGGTTTCCACTCCCAGGAGGCTGAGAGGCACACAAGAAAACTGGCTGGACTGCAAGCATGGGGTCCGGAGCCAGGGAGAGGCTGTTTTAATTAAACAGTGGAGGAAGAGGCTCTTGCTGGGATGGGCAGGATTCTGCTTCCTGATTGCCAAAGCCCAGCGAGCGATGGGCTGACTGTCTATCCCGGGGCTCAGCAGAGCAGAGGCTCATCCTGAGTGCGGGGCAGGACACCTTCTGGATGGTGGCCCCCATGTTTCCTCAATGAGGAGGTGGCCCCTGGTTGTGCTCCAGCTAAACCCCCGGGGGTGAGCCCAGCACCAGGCAGTGCTATGCAGCAGGGTATCTCTGAGACTGGGGGGAGGGGGCGGTAGGGTGCATGGGGTTTAGTTAGAGACCCATTCACTCCAGGGGACCCAGGACACAACGCCACAGAATGTGGAGTCTCATCCCCCACCCCGGCCAGCCTGAGGTTTGGGCCAACATCAGAGCCCTGAGGCACAGAATCCCTCCACACCAAGATGCCAGAATCCTCCCAGAGTCAGCCTGGGACCCCCCAGACACACACAGCGGCCTCCCTCGGGGGTGGTCCCTGTACAAAGACCTCTCTACACACAGTGTCCACTGTTGCTGTCCCTATGTCGTGGCGTGTTTTATAGCACAAGGTCTTTCCAAGAAGCGGCAAAGCCTCCTCACACTCTACCTTTTGTGTTTAATTGTGTAAATAGTAACAATAATAATACATTTTCCTGTCCTAAAGCAGGCCACCGTCTCTTCACAGTGCTCCCCCCATCTGCATGTCCCCACACTCTCTGGTGCTGTGGGTCACACACCCCCACCACAGGACCCTCTGCGTCCTTTCCATCCTTGGCCCATGGTGTGTCCTGTCACATCTTCCCACTCCCGGCCAGGATGCTCACGGCCGCTTTGCCGGCTGTTCCTGCACTGCACGTCTGGGTCACATCCGGTTCTTCTCACAAAGAAGTGCCCTTCACGCCCTGTGTGCAGACGGGGATGCTTTTCTAGGGTATGCTCTTCTGCAGACCTGCACCATCCCAGGTGCTCACACTCTCTGGAGGACGTAGAGGACCCGAGTGTCACTGCAGCTGTGGCACTGTGAGCACATGGCGGTGCAAGGAAGGGCTGCCTTCTGCTGGCCTGGACTGGAGTCCTGCTCTCCAGCTGCTCACTGGGGCCCCGCCACACACAGGCAGGTGCGGGAGGGAGGCCTCTGCTTGAGATCTTTGACCAAAGCCCTTCCAGGACCTTCACAGGAAAGCTATGACATTCCCTGAGCAATGCCAGCCAGGACGGGCACGTGGGGGAAGATGAACCTAGAGGGTTGAGTGCCAGAGTGGACTGACCCGACACCCCCATGCCAGGCTGAGGCAGAAGGCCCCTCAGCAAGACTGACAGATGAAGGGAGACAGCTCTGGGAACACCTGCTTCATTCAGCCACGCCCTGGCATTTACCCAGGCTGGGGCCAGCTGCAGTGGCTGGGTCGAGGAGGGTCCAGGCATCAGCCTCAGGCTCTGCTCCCAGCCACTCAGCCTGGGCCAGGGATCTGGTCTGCAGGTCTCTGCTAGCCCCGAATGCCCTCCGCGCTCCCCATTTTCCTCCCTGTCACCCGGCCTCAGAGGAGGCCAGGCCAGCCCATCAATTATGTTCCCACCGACTTTGAACTGTGAATCCGAGGTTCCCCAGGAGCTTATCCGCTCCCCCCGGCATGCCCAGAGGGGGATGAGGGGAAGGCACCGCCAGCTCCACAGCAGCTCCAGTCTCCCATAGCGCCCGAGGGCAGCACAGGGAACCAAGGGAGGCCAGCAGACAGGAGCCTGGGCCTGCCTGGTCTCATTCCCAGCCGCTTCCTGCGTTTCCTCTGGGGTCCCCATGGCTGCGGTGGGGCCATGCATTCCTTCCTTCGTCCTGCACAGCTCACCCTGCACAGGGCCTGGCTGCCAACTTGAAAACAGCAGCCATGGGTGGAGTGTCACCTGCAGCTCAGAGGCAGCCGTGCAAGATCCCCCAGGAGCAGGAGGAGGAGTGGGGGAGGCCACACGGGCACACCTCATGTGCCTCTGTTTCCTCGCCACTGAAACAGAGATAACCGCCGTTCACAGCTCACAGGGGCTGCGGTGCTGTGTAAAGAGCCTGCCACGCTGATACATGTTGGCTGTCATGGTATCCACTTTTGGGGGTGTCCTGGCCTAATCTACCTGTGATTTCTTTGCCACAGACCTGCGCCCCCTGGACATCCTGGCGGAGGTGGTCCCTTCTGATGGCGCCACAAGCGGGATCAGGATAGTTCAGGTTCACGGTGCACGGGGACTGCAGCTCTCGGCAGCCGCCCCCCACGTCATGAGCTTCCCCGCATCCAGGATTTTCTCCCAGTGTGACCTCTTCCCTGAAGAATTTTCCATCGTTGTAACCTTGAGAGTTCCCCATCTTCCACCCAAGGTCAGTGACACTTTCTGCGCTTCGTGTTAGAATAGCGGGATTTTCCCTTGTGAGGTTCCCAGTTCCAACGCGTGCACAGGTTGAGGGGCGGCATTTGTCAAAGACTCTCTGGGTTTCTCTGGGATCAAGAGTGGCTTGCCTCGCTAGGTAATGAGGTCCCTGTCACTGGCAGTATGTGAGAGTCTGTGTGACCATTTGCTAGGGGGTTGCACAGCCAGTTCCTGCAATTGAGGGTCTAGTGCTCAGAGTTTTTATGTTGACATCCTTTAGCAGGAAGCGCTAACAATAAAATCACATTTAAAAAGGTACACTTTGTAGACCCATTTATCGAAGACTTGAAGTGCTATTAATCCCACATCTAACAGGTAAGCCCCATTCCATCCTCTGCCTACTAGTTTGGAAGGTGAAGACAATAATGTTTGTCTCTGTCCCCTCCCCATGGTTTCGGGGACAGTGCACATCATATCTGTGCAGCAGGTCCTTCTGAAGTAAATAAAAATGAATTTGCATTTCCAATTCAGCATCGTTGATTAAGAAAGGAAAAGCCCTTCTTCCGGCAATGGCTGCTCTGGCTGTGCGATATTCCATCGAGTGTGACTCCGTGCTGGTCTCTGCATACGCACCCATCCTCTCTCCTCTTCCTTCTAACCTGCTGTAAACCCCAACCACTGAGTTCTCAGTGTCAGTATTTTCCAGTTCCCTAACTTCCATTTTTTTATATAACTTCCAGTGTTCAGGTTAAAGTCTTCATCTTCTCAGCTATTTCTTGAGCATGGCTCCAATGTTCATTATGTGGACAACTCCAATACGTGGACCACCTAAAAGACTGGTCTGTTTTCTGCTTTATCTTTCTACTTTCTGTCACGCACCATACTTTTAAAATTTTATTTATTTATTTTGAGACTGAGTCTTGCTCTGTAACCCAGGCTGGAGTTCAGTGGCACAATCATGGCTCACTGCAGCTACCTCAAGCTACCTTCCCACCTCAGCCTCTAAACAGCTGGAACCACAGGTGCATGCCACCACTCCCGGTGAATTAAAAAAAAAAAATTGTGTAGAGATGGGATCTCACTATATTGCCCAGGTTGGTCTCGATCCTCCTGCCTCAGTCCCCCAAAGTGCTGGGATTATAGGTGTGATTCCCCGCACCTGGCCATGCCTGGGACTCTTTAACAGCTCTATTGAGATGTAATTCGCGTGCCCTACAATTCACCCATTTAAAGTGTATAATTTGATGGTTTTTGGTAGATTCACAGATAATATACGAGCAATTTTAGGACACTTTCCTCACTTCAGAGGAGGCCCGTACATTAAATATCACCCTGGACCCTGCATCAACCCAGCGCTAAGCAGGGACTATGCTCCTTTCTGTCTCTAGGGATTTGCCTCTCCTGAATGTTCCTTGTAAAGGGATACAAGGAATCGTAGGGTGTATTTCTTTTGTGACTGGCTTCTTTTGCTTAGAATGTCTTCAAGGTTTATCCATGCTGCGGCTTGTGTCAGCACTTCATTCTTTCTTATGGTCCAATAATACTCCATGGTATGGGCCTGCCACAGTGAGATTATCCTTTTCTCAGCTGGTGGACGTGTGGATTGCTTCCACCATTTGGCTATTAAGAATAACGTTACTACAGGCATTCATGCATTCCTGTGTGCACTTTTGTGTGGATGTATGTTTTCATTTCTCCTGTGGATGCACTTAGGAGTGGATGCCTGCATCCTGTGGTTAACTTTTCGAGGAACTACCAGCCCGTTTACCAAACTTGCTGGCAGCATTTTACATTCCTGCCAGCAGTGTGCAATGGTTGTGATTTCTCCACAGTCTTGCCAACACTTGTCATCTGACTTTTTGGCTATAGCCATCCTCAAGGTCATGAAGCAGTGTCTGATTATGGTTTTGAGGTACAATTCCCTGATGAACAGTGGTGTTGAGCATTTCTCATGTGTGTACTGGCCATTTGTGCATCTTCCTTGGAGAAATGTTCATTTAAAATTTTTTGCCCAGCTTTTCATGGATTAATGGACTTCTTATTGTTCAGTTGTAAAGAATTCTTTATATATTTGATGAGCCCCTTATCAGATATATGATTTGCAAATATTTGCTCCCATTCTGTGGGTTTTTCTTTTACTTTCTTGGTAGAGCCCTTTGGAGCACAAAACTTTTAAACCATGTTGATGTTCAATTTATCTATTTTTTATTTTGTTGCTTGTACTTTTGGTATCATATCCAAGAATCCAATGCCAAATCCAAGGTCATGAAGATTTACCCTTATGTTTTCTTCTAAGAGTTTTATACTTTTGGTACTTACATGTAAGTCTTCAGTCCATTTAATTTTTGTATATGGTGTGAGGTAGGGGGTCAATTTTGCTCTTTTGTATGTAGATATTCAGTTGCCCCCACACCATTTGCTAAGGAGATAGTTTTTTCCTCATTGAATGGTCTTGACAACCTTGTGAGAAATAAATTGACCACAGATATGTGTGTTTATTTCTGGACTTTTAATTTTACTTTATTCATTCATCTATTTATATATCTGTACCACACAGTCTTGGTTACTGTAGCATTGTAGTAAATCTTTAAATTGGGAACTATGAGTCATTCAACTTTGCTCCTCTTTTTAAATTTTGTTTTGGCTATTCTGGGTCCCTTGTAATTACATATTGATTTTATAATCAACTCGTGAATGTCTACAGAGAAGTTAGCTTGAGAGTAGACAAATCTGTAGATTGACTTGGGGAGTATTGTCATGTTAACAATATTAACATGAGTGGATCATGGACTTCAGATTCATGAAGATGCTTTTCCATTGATTTACATCTTCCTTAACAAAAAACAAAAATAATGTTTTGTAGTTTTCAGAGTGTAAGTTTTATAATTCTTCTGTTAAATCTAGTCCTATGTATTTTTTTCCTTTTTGATGCTATTATAAATAATTTCATGTTTGGCTTGTTCATTGCAAATATATAGAAATACCATTATTTATTTATGAGACAGTGTCTCAGTCTGTCACCCAGGCTGGAATGCAGTGGTGCAATCTCGGCTCACTGCAACCTCTGTTTCCCAGGTTCAAGCGATTCTCCCACCTCAGCCTCCAGAGTAGCTGGAATTACAGGTGTACACCACCATGACCAGCTAATTTTTGTATTTTTAGTAGAGATGGGGTTTCGCTATGTTGGCCAGGCTGGTCTGGGCCTCCCAAAGTGCTGAGATCACAGACGTGAGCTACCACACCTGGCCTGAAATACCATTGATTCTTGTGTGTTGACCTTGTATCCTGCAACCTTGCTGAGCTGGCAGTTTTTTAGTGAATTTCTTAGGATTTTCTATATATAAGATCATGTCATCTGTGAATAGAGATAATTTGTTTCTTATTTTCCAATATGAATGCTTTTTATTTTTTCCCACTAAGTATGATGTTAACTGTGTATTCTTCATAGATGCCCTTAACAAATTGAGCAAATTTCCTGCTCTATCTTATTGAGTGTTTTTAACATGAAAGGATGGTGGATTTTATCAAGTGCTTTTTCTGCATCGATTGTTATAATCGTGCTATTTTTGTTTTTTATTCTATTAATATGTTGTGTTACATTAATTGATTTTTTGCATCCCAGGGATAAATCCCATTTAGCCATGGTGTATAACTCTTCTTTTATGTTGCTGGATTCAGTTTGCTAGTATCTTGTTGAGTATTTTGCATTCGTATCATGAGAGCTAGTGTATTGTAGTTTTCTTTTCTTATGATGTCTTTATGTGATTATGGTATGAGAATAATACTAGCCTCATAGAATGAGTTAGGAAGTAATACTTCTTAGTTTTTGAAAGAGTTTGTAAAGAATTGGTTTAATTCTTTATTTATTTCCACTTTAATCTTCATTATTTCCTTCATTGTGCTTGCTTTGAGTTTGCTCTTCTTTCTCCAGAATCTTTAAGTAGGTTAGGTTATTGATTTGAGATCTTTCTTAATACAGATATTTACAACTATACATTTCTCTCTAAGCAATACTTTCACTGCATCTCATAAGTTCTGGTATTTTGGGTTTCATTTTCATTCATCTTGATGTATTTTATGATTTTCCTTTTGGTTTCTTTTTTGACTTGTTGGTTGGTTATATAAGAGGGTGCTGTTTAATTTTCACATATTTGTGTGTTTCTTCAGTTTTTTTCTATTATTGATTTCTAATTTTATTTTATTGTGGCCAGAATACATACTTTGCATTATTTCTGTCCTTTTAAATTTACTGGAGGTTTATTTTATGGCCTAACATATGTCCTATCCTAGACAATACTGCATATGCATTTCAAAAAAATGTATATTCTGCTGTCATCAGGTGGAATAGCCTAAAGATGTCTGCTAGACTTTATTGGTTTATTGTATTCAAGTTTTCCTTTTCCTTGTTGATCTTCTACCTAGTTATTCCTTCCATTGTTGAAATTACAGTGTTGAACTATTCAATTAATATTGTTGACTTGTCTATTTCTCTCTTCATTTCTGTCAGCTTTTGCTTCATGTATTTTGCTGTTCTGTTATTATTTGCACACATGTTTCTATTTATTATACCTTCATGATAGGTTGACCTTTCATAATATAAAGTGTTCCTCTTCATCTCTAATAACAATATTTGTTTTAAAATTTATTTTATCTGAGAGCAGTTGGACTACTCCAATTTTCTTGTGGTTGTTTTTTGTATAATTTATCTCTTTCTGTTTACTTTCAATCTAGTTGTATATTGGAATATAAAGAATGCCTACTTTATAGAGCATCTGGTTACATCTTGTTTTCTGTTTAATCCAGTCTGACAGCCTCTGCCTTTTGATTGGGTTATTTAATCTATTTATATTTAATGTTATTATTGATATAAAGTTGACCTCATTTTTTATGAATTTTGTATTTGCACATTCAGCTACTCTCTAAAATTAATTTGTAATCTCAAAAGAAATACTGGTGGCATTTTTGTGGTCATTCATTGACATGCACAGAGTAGTGAGAAATTTGAGTCTC